AAGGTCACTAATTTAGCAAGTTTTTTAGTAAGAGCACCGCTACTTTTAGTGAGATTTTATGATACAAACGTCACTAAATTATTTATTTAGCGACATTCTTAAACACAAACCCCACGAAATTAAAAAATATATTTTTTAAAATAAAAAATTTCTGTTAATATTTATTATTTTCATAAACGAGCTTAAACTCATAAATTGAAATTAATATAAACTTAATTCACGTTCAAATATGCATCTAATTAATAATTAGTATAACAACATTCAAATTTTTTTAATACATTAACAAAATAAAATTAAAATGTATAAAATTGATAACTGCATAAATTTTAAAGGCTGCCAATTGATGAAAGAATTTTTTCATTTTGATCACTAGCGTACTCAAGAACTTACTGAATAATAGCATACAATTTTTAACACTTCATTGTAAGCTTTTTTTATATTAAAAAATATAAATATTTACTAAATATAATACCTAAGTTGGTGGACCACTAAGATAAGTTCCTGGAAATATCGATCAAACAGAACTACTTAATTCTCAATAAATATAATTTTATTAAGGAGTTTTAATTATGCATAGTTTTATTATTGTAAACCTTTTTTTTACACATAAAATTTAAAGATGAGAAATAATAAAAATTATTATTTTGAATAGTAGGAAATTTTATGCCTATAAATAGGAACTAGATTGTGACTCATGTGATATATGAAATAATTTTACTTATTTCATGTTTATATACATATAAATTAGTATTCTTTTTAAAATTATATTCAAAATTTCAAAATTTATAACATATAAATTATATATCCAACTAACTTAATTATCATAAAAAAATAAATTAAAAAAAAAAGAAAAAATGGCATGTCTTCACTTTGCACCATCTTTATTTATAATAATATTTATATATCTAATATTTATACTAAATAAAAATAAATTAAATGTCATTCTTAGAAAAACAAAAACATATATATTATCGAATGATAAATTAAATGATAAAAAAAGTATAAATATACTTCACTTTTGTAATCTTATTCACATTACTGTACAAAATATGAAAAAGATATTAAGATATGTGTGAAAAAAAAAATAAATTGAAAATGTTAATTTTCATAAGAACAAACTTGCAATAATAATAGAATATAGTAAATTGAAAAAAGAAAGTGCAAATCGAAAAAATAAATTGTAATAGCAATAGAATTCTAAAAAGCTACAAATAAAAAAAAATTATATAACACATTACATTTATGGTCTTTAATTACAAGCATAACTCTTAGATGACATTTAAGATTAAGTAAATAATTTTGAAATTGATATTTTAAAAAAATTAAAAGAATATCATAAGTGATAAAAATTATATAATTGCCTATTTTTTAAATATAAAATTGATAGTTAGAGTTAAATGGATATAGGTCTTATTATTTAAAGATTTAATATGAAAAGACTATTTGCATTTTTAATAATTTACGTAAATTTTTTAAAAGATCATTTTTATTTGATACAATTTAAGATAAAAAAATATAGTGAGTTTTTTTAAGTATTTGGATAAACTTAATCTTTATAGTTTTAAAATATGTTGAAAGACTTTTATAATTAAATAATTTATAAAATACAATTATCTAGTAAAAAATTAAAATTATTCGGATAAAATACATATTTCAAAATTTTAATTTTAAAAAAACATATCTATAGATTAATTTAATTTGTAATTATAATTTGAATAATTTTGATATTTGAATAAATTCATAATTATCTAATTTATAATTAAAAAAATATACTCTTTAAAAAAAACTATTTTACATGGCATCTAAATAAGTTTTCTACATAAACATCCATGTAACAACCTTATTAGGTGTCTTTGTATATTATAATATAATAATATATATTATAAAGTCTTCTAATAGGAAAATAGATAAAGGATATGCAAAAGAGTTTCTCTAAAGGACTAAAACATCTCTAATGTTTTCTGAATAAAATTAATGAACAACAAAATACACCTAGCTCACTAATGTATTTTCCTCTTTCCAAGGATGAATTACCATGCATAACTAGTTATATCACTTATATCTTAATTAATTAGAATTAGCAAACGAGAAAATTCATCATTGATTTCATTTCAAACAAACCTAGTCAACAGAAAGGAATCAAATTTTGACAATTCAATATTTCAAAAAAAGAAAAATTTGACAATTCAATTCAACAGTATTATCTTCTTAGAAGAAGAATGATAGTTCAAGTCATCCTGGTAATAAAGAAAAACCATAGGAAAGAAAATAAATGTAAATAGAAAAAGGTTTCATACATTGCATCTAATTAAAGAGTTTTAATAATATCCGATATTTATTTGAATAATCAATAAATACTTACAAAGGAGTACAATTTGAATCAATGGAAATACCAACTTGGTAGGTTACTTTCTGTCAAAGCTTATTGGAACTCCAAAAACTCACATTATTTGTCTACGTCCAAACTTTATCCAATCCAATTTGATTAAGAAAGGTTAATGATTCAAATTCAAAATTATCTAAACTTGATCCAATCTGATTTAATTAAGAAAACTTATATAATTTAAATTCAAAATTATTCGAATATAAAATTATCCAAACTCGAACAACCTAAAGATTAATTGATTTAATTTTAAATTCAATAATTTAAACATAAAAGATATTGAAACTCGATAAATCTAAATTTTCTTTGATCTAAAATGACCTAACTTGAAGTAACCCAACTCAAACTTGAACCTCTCCCCCATTTGCCACTTACATCTATATAATATAATAAAACATATATGTATATGTAAAGGCATGGATATGGAAAATTTTTTGATTTGACGAAAATAAACATGTTTATTTACTATGTTTCTAAAATGTCACTTATTAATTTAATTTTTTTTAATTTAATATTTATAAAAATTATTATAATTGATTAACAATTCTAATCGATGTTAGATTTAACTAGCTAAGTTTTAATCCAATTCATATATTATTATTAATAAGAGTTTGAAACAAAGTTATGGTGTTAATAATTTTAACTACTTAATTCTTATTTATCACTGAATATTAAATTTGTGAATTTTCCAACAACTTAAAAAGTTTTTTTTCCTTCCATATTTAAAGATAATGAATATCTTTAACCTATATTCACACAGCATTTTTCTTTTTTATTATGACAAAATTATTTTTTATCGAAAGATGTAGTAATTTTTTATTTAACATATTATAATATATTATATACTACATAAAAAAAAAAAACTAATAAGTATTCAGGTGCAAGATCATATACTAGTTTTCTAAAATATATAACTTAAAAAAAAAAATCTAATATAGTTGTATTGATTTGCCCATTTTCAATCAACGAGACACTAACTATTCGGACCAAAGACTTGGCGAGTAGGAAGAATCCAATCTCACGAATGTTCAAGAAGTTATAAATCCAAGGTCCAGTTAAAACGATCTTCAGCCCGACACTGGCTGAAAGCTATTTTTGTATTTTAGCCCAACAGCTGATTTGTGAAGAGCAACTTTCTCCAAATTGAAGCTATATGATATTACTTCGCTTCGCTTCATTTTCCCGTCTTTTTTTCCCTTTTCGTATTAAATCGAAGCTGGGCTTGCAAATTCTATGATTAACTATATATAGTTGAGAATGTTTTTCTAATAACCTGCCAGTTTAATCAATATTTGCATTTCTTTTTCTTGTGATTGCCAATTTCCAATCAAAACAATTACCAATTACAGAGATCATGTGATCAAGAAACACTTTCCAGAGGCTATTTATGTGAATTAAGTGGACTTATAATCAGGATTTTTGTCCACCATGAAATCTGCTTTACAAGAATCCATTTGATCTGCACTAATCATCAAGATTTGTGTCATGGAAACTGCAACAAGAAATTAATAAGAAAATGATAAAAAAAAAAAAGGCATTACATAATTAAAGGCTAAGTGCAAATTAAAAGGGGAAAAATGAAGGCGGAATTACAATGAACCACACTTAAAAACAAAATTGCTTAAAACAACCTAGACTAATTGTCAAATACGTAGCAGGACTCCAAAAAAAAATTACTAGAAATTTTAGGTAAAATTCCTTGTCATCACTGATGGATATGGATTATGATGTATAATGTACAGTCGGACCAGAGTTCAAACCCAATAATGGAAAGGGATTACCAATGGCCCTTTGATTCCTGCAATTATTGGACCTTGTCGGTTGTACACAATGCTCGAGAAGCCGATCCCTGCAAATGGGGCAATGCAAAGATGAACCTGAAGCCATTCTTCGATACAGTTCGTCTGTTTATCTCACGGACTTAAGGAGTAGTCTTAAATTTTATATCAAATATAAAAGAAAGGTCATTTAAAATATAAAAGGGTTCATATAATTTTTTTTATGAGGTAATTTTTTAAGATAAAACCGTGAGACCAGAGAAGTTAGAACAGATAATACTTTATAAGGTGTGAACTGTGACAAATAAACTGATCTGAGATGTCAGATAAGTAGATACCCAGATCCGGAACTGCACAAATTTGGAGCTTAAATCTTGACTCATGATAAGTGGTATCAAAATCAACCTTAAACCGTTCGACTTACGTCAAGCACCTCGAGGGAGGTAAGTAGGGTGGTCAACTTCCGTGACGAAAACGTCACGAGATTAAATGAAAAAAAAATGTCACATACTTGAGAAGAAATCTTAAATTTCATATCGAACATAAAAAGATGATTATTAGAATATAAAAGGATTTATACCACCTTTTTATTGTGAAACGCTTTTTATAAGATAAAACCGTAAAATCAAGAGACTAACGGATAATATCATACAAGGGTGTGAACCATGACAATCAAATTGATCTGAAACGTCGAAAGGGTGAATATTCAGGTCTTGGAGCCGCGCGGTTCGGAACTTAAATCTCGTGACACTGCACCTTTGCAAAACCCTAAACCTGTCTCCATGCACGTAGTCTTCCAAGCATATAGCGCAGTTTTCAAGCTCCAACGAAATATCAGAACAAGGCTTCGATGACGTCAGCGTTGATTCTCCATGTACAAGAACAGGAATTGAGGCGAGTTCGACGTCAATGGATGGTTTTGGCTTGATGGGATTTTCGTCAGAAGAGTGTTTTGATCGGTGAAAGCATTTGTAGATTAGGCAAACGATGAGACCAAAACTTATCGTTGCAACCGTGATTGTAAAATCAATGCGATCAACTACTGTGTTTCTGTAACGGTCATTGTCAGGTGAGGTATGATCTCTCAGGAGAAGTCTGTGACTGATCCGACTCCAGTTTTTGGCTGGCTCCATTCTGCTTGTTTCAAAGAGGATCGTTGATGGGGACTGATTGAAAGAAACGAGGATGACGAATTGCTGTTACTAGGTATATATATTGTAGAACAGTTACTTAGCCTCCAAGGAGTAAAATCCACCGATAGATTTTTTGGTGTTTGGCAAGTGATTGTGGAAGAAGGGTAGCTTTATTCTTTCGAAATTGTTATTCCCCTATATGGTAAATTTGACCTTGGCTGTTTCCTGGAAACAGCAAAAACAGCTCAACTAGGATTCAGACGCGGCCATTTGAATTCTCCTTATAATTATAAAGTTACCATCAAATGATATTTTCTTTGGTTCTTTTTACCACATTTGATTGTCTTAGATGTTCACATCTGGCTTTCCAAGTAAAGGAGCCTCACTCTGTTTGTCTGATGATTGGTTTAACCGGATCTTGGATTTTTTGGACCGAATAGTCAGTGTCTCTTGATCTAAAATTAAGCACTGAATCGTTTTTCTATATCCATATCATTCCCATCTCCATCTAGTAAGGCCTTTTGGAGTAGGTTTAAGGAATCAAGCACTTTGAAGTTTTAATTCAAAGCTGAGAGAATAACAAAGATGACTGATTGATGAAGAAAAATTCTCCTCTTTGTTTCATATATAATGCACCATTCAACTTACAAAGAAGAAACAGATCACAGAAATCTGATCATATGATGCCTGATATCATCAACGAGTGCAGTGTTATACTACAGCACAAAAATTGATTCATGTAATGAATCAAGATGAACTGACGTTCAGCATCCTCAATAGGTGTCATACTTACTGGCTTCGGAAGACCATTTGTTAGATGACTTTGCATTTGGATGAATAAAGATTTTACTCTCTAGCATGGGAGGAGGCTGAACAGGATAAGGTAATTTACAAAATGAGCCGTATAACGCGGTATTGAGGAGCAGGTCAGGCAGGGGACGGACAAGTACATTTGTACATCCTTTAGTCAAACTTGAGATGAAGGATCACCATCATTTTGGCCGAGATTTCATTGACGCCCATCTGAAGTATCCACAATTTGCTTCAGGGTTAGAAGAAGGACCCTGTAAGATGCCAAAAAACAACTCCAATTATTTCATTTATCTTGCACCTTTCCTAATGTAAACCGCTTGTTAAATACCAGACTGGTTACTGAACAGATGAAAAAGGCATACCTCAGCTCGAGCACACACATAGAATCTATGACCAAAAGTAGGACCTGGTTTCTTCACCACTCGAGAAACACAAGGTTCTCTATGTCCCTTGCAAAGAGGTATGCTATTCTGCATATGTAGTTGTATCCTTTGCCACTCCAGTAAAGCAATGTTATTCTTCTCTTTCTCCAAATAACGACTGCCTTCTTGTACTCCTTGACCCTGTGAGGATGCAATCCCATTCATGTCACTCCGTGTTGGACTGCCTCCATGATCATCCATCACAGGAGCTTCCGGGGACTGACTGTTAGAATCGAGGACACCAGTCTGGTTACCAGAAACATCAGTAGCAGAACTGTCAAGACCATTATCTAGGTTTGAATTTTTCTGGAAAAATGATCTCAAGGAAAGCTGTTGACTCTTTCTTGCTCTTTTCTTGGTTTCTTGGTTAGGCATTGAACTGATGTACCGCCTGTTGAATGCAATTGTAGTGTTACAAGCAGCCTCCTCGGTAAGATCTTCAGAATTATCATTTTTTAGGATGGTATTTTCAGAGTCCTGGTCCAAAGAACAGCAGGATATATTGGCTCCTGGTACATTGCAATTAGTGATCGGCCTTTTGACACTATGACTACAATCTCCTGAGATGATACTTTCATCAGAAAATGAACTTGATACTATATGACATTTGACTTGTTTAGCAGCTTGCCTTCTCATTAAAACTGACACTATCCAAAACAAAAGTAAAAAAAGACAATCTTTAAAAATTTAAAATGCTGCAAAATGATTCTATAAGACATATATGCTAAATTTTAAATGAGACTAACATCCAAAAACAGGAAATGAATCTCATACCAAGAGTTTGCTGTAGACCATGAATACTTGGCAAATATCTGGCAGCTAAAGATGGAGTGCTATGGTGTGAGACATCAGGGATTTTCACTAAGCTTGTATAAACAGGAGCATGGTCTGAACCTTCTAATTTAATGTTCCACCCTCCTTTCCACCTACATGAGGCAAGACAGGAAAGTATGTGAATGGAATTATCTATGTATTCACATTATATTAGATTGTATGTAGAATAACATGATACTACTGTGAATTTTTCAAAATTATGAGCATAACAATCAATACTTAGATGTTTGATAATCAGGATGAACACCGAGTTATCTAAAGTGGGATATCAATTTTTCAAATTTAAATGAGCTGAAAGTACTAGTTAAGTATCGTGTCATTACTCAATTCAACTACATTGTTGGATGTTGTATCTAATTTTACCTTGGTGCATTTCCAGGTTTCCACCGCTTGTATTCTGTCAAGATGTTGCACTCCTTTACATGGCAGGCTATCAAATTATGTCCTTCTATGTCATGCTCCTCATGTAAGCAAGACCCAGCACAGAGAATATGATCAATTCTTGTCCCATAATTGAACTGTTCGGCACCAGTATTTGATGGCCAGCATGTAAATGCGTCTCTTCTGCAAAGAAGTTAAAGATTAAAAACAAATAAATAATCAGAACCATAAAACAATAAAAGCCTTCATGTTGAGAAATCTTCAAAGAGTGAATTAATGCTTATCAGTTAATAATGATGAAAAGCAGGCAGAAACTCCAATAATAGGAGATAAACTAATCAACTATAATGAAATCAATGTCATAAGCAGAAAGTTTAAACCTGTTTGGATTTTTTGCCCTGAAAACATCAAAGAAATGACCTCCAGATTCCACTAGCATGGATCTAAACCATGTCCTGAACCTACAATGAATTTTAAACTGAATTAATTACTTTCAAAGAAAAGCAGCTTTGACCCATAATACTAACTATAGAGCTGACAACAACGGTAGACTCAGATAAGTTGCAAAAACCAGCCAGAAGCTTACTCGTTATTCTCAAAATCTGGTCCTGCATCACAACGATCAATAGCACAAGGAGCAATGTTGAGGTCACCGACAACAAAAATCCTCCTTCCTCGACCCAACAGAGACTCCCATCTTTTCTACAACAAAGACGAGCAGTTTTAACCCGCATTGCACCAATTTTACATCTTACAAGCAAAACTTTCTTATCGAAACAAATTACCTCTAATATCTTGAAGAAATTGAGTTTGAATTGAATTCTCTCTGCATCATCACTTTCTGCTCGGGGTCCATACAAGTTGAAAAGAACTAACCAATACAATTAAGCAAGTTAAGATAATTGGATCTTCTTAAAATGAACTAATCCAATCAATTTTCTTATATTAAACTAACCAAAATGACCATGATCCGTGATGATGCACCGTCCCTCACTGTCAACCTTGAGAAGCTCCTCTCTTGAAAACTCTTCAAGCCCTTCAGCTACTGAAGCCGTTTCGTCTTTTCTAGAACATCCTAAAAGGCCAGTGAACCCTTCCTCTGCCGCAAGCGGCAATGCCACTTCTACGCTCGAGAACGCCGACTTAACACGACAAAATGTAGCCACACCTGTAAATATAATTAAAATAAATGAAAAAAAAAAAGAAAAAGAAAATTTTTTTCTCATTGAGGTATATAATCAAACAGCTTACCGGAATATCCAGTTCGGCCTTTATCGGAGGTGCGAGTGCAGGAGAAGAAGGATTCATAGCCATCGGCTATTGAAAAATCCGCCGTTAATTCTTGCCTTCTCAATTTCGTCTCCTAGTTCGACCCAAAAACATTAGGAAAAATAAAATAATGGAATTAAATATATATTAAAAAAAAAAGAAGGGAAAATTGGGACCTGGATGCAGATAATATCAGCATCGAAAGAATTGAGTAATTTGAGGAGAGAACCGAACTGTGAGATTCTTTGCCTCAATCCATTTACGTTGTAAGTCACTATCTTCATTTCTTCATATTATAATTTCCCTTTGTTTCTTTTCTTTTCTTTTCTTTTCTTTTTCTGGATTTCGCCGATGAGAAGAGGAAAAAGAGCAGATGGCCAATTGAGAAACGACATCGTTTCAATCTGTTTATGGGGATCTATTGAGAGGCCTCTAGCCCAGATAGGATTTTGGGCTTTGGCTAGTAAATCAGATACGACATTTGCAGCTAATGAAATTAAGTCAACGGATCCTACGAGAGCTACGGTGGTCTACGAACCACTTGAAATCTCTGTTTTTTTGGTAAATTTAGTTAAATCCCGACAGGTCCATAGGAACAGGTTCGGCCTAACTTGAACTGAAGATGCCTGGCTCATCAACAAAACAAACCAGGTAAAATTTTTCATTCTAAATGATATCTGGGATGCCGAAAACTAAATATGACTGAATGGCATATGCGGGATTTGTCTGCAGGAGAAAGGAAATGCAAGCAAACACAGTAGGATACAAGTATGGTGAATGCTAGCTCTTCAAGCCTTGGTGTATGTGCATTGTAAATTCTGTGTCGTTAATACCACTTAACATTCAGTAGCATTATGTCATGTTCATTTAAAACTGATCATCTAGTGATCTGGATATTTTGTTTAATATCATCTAGAAGAAGCTTTTCGTTTTTGTTCTGGTCATGAGGAACTGTTGTCAATGGTGGTAAATTTGATGATGCTACAAGATCCATGTTTAGATGTAATGGTTGTACTTAAAATTCATTGGAGAAGATGACAGGACCGATTTGTCTTTATGATAAAGGGCAAGTTCATAGCAAAAGAGATTAAAAATACTTTGAAATCCAAGCAGATGCTTCTCAATTCTAGCGGTAAATTGGAAGCATTCCCAGTTGTCTACCAGATATGCCCATTTAACTATACTGTAGGCTTCAACATTATCTGTCACTGTCAGTGTTACGTACAAAAGCATTCCCAGTTTTCTTTTAGTTTGAAAGGGGGGTTCCCTTTCGCCAAGTTCTCTTGGAAAGTAAACGGTCGAAGAAGACTTTAGCCATGGAAGGCCCACCTGTCATTGTTGATGAATGACCCCAACCCCAACTCTGCAAGCCACATAGACCCGCTGATGGACTTCTCAGCTTTCAAAAGGTCCAGCGTTTTCTACTGCAATTATTGCAGTAAAATGACTAGCCAAGCGGGCTCCAAAACCTCCAACATGCGACAAGTTGACTGTGGACTTCCCCGTTAGCAGTCATAATTTACCAATCTTTCCTTTTCTTTGCTTCTATTGGATGAGGACCAGTTGCATCCGAAGCAACAAGTAAGTGCTCTTCCCACTTGCATTTAGCTGTAATAACTGAAGCAGTCAAGTTTAGCCTCATTTCTCAACCGGGAAGCCCACATCAAGTGGACATTCACAACTACTATAGAGAGAGACCCCTGCCCACGTGAATTTGAAAGTAAAATCCACCGTTGGACATTCAAGGTTGCAGGGTTGTTGGTTGGATCGCTAAGAGGAGCTGGCACAGTTAAAATTTGGTACCATTTGACAAGATAAAGATGCTGTTGCTGGAAAGACAGAGTGTGCCAACTCCTGCAGGGATGCCCAATTTTGCTGTACCAAGCATATGCTTCCGGCCATGAACACCGTTTTGATAACAAAAAAAATTGAGCCAACCAACCTACTTTAGATTCATTGATGCAAAATAAACCTAGAAAAATTTATGACGAGATGTTTTTTACACAACCATTTCACCATTAAAACTATCGATCTATTACATTTCTGTTGGACTTAAGATCCTCAGATTCAGATGACAGTGACGATAAGTAGTAGTTCGGCACAGAAGATTAACAAGATTCAAAGTCTACAAACATGTAAATAAATTCAGATGCACCATATTTTCATTGATAAATTATTTATAGTCACATATTACAAATTTGGAGGGTAAAAACAAGAAATACCCAACCAAAGAAATGTACACAGATTGATCATATACCTGGAGCTATCTCACTACCACAGCCAACATAAACTCTTATATCCAAGACCTCTCAGCAGTGAATTCCCCAAAGCAGATGTCATCAAACAAAACTCAATCAAAAAGGGTCCCTAGAATGCTGGAGACAGGTAGATGGACACATGCTTGGAATCCAGAATCCAGTACAGATACCAAACAAGCACCAAATTGAGAAAAATGCTCCAATTTCCTGGCTCTCTTTTTATCTCCGCTCATCAACCCTCAAATTTTCAATTCTAACCTATAACTTCTGAGTATTCCGCTGACCAGATGGACTAGGTGCATTCCGTGAACCAATGCTTGCAGTTCGTAAAAGTCGGCGAAATTCAGAAAGGCTTATTTTTCCATCTTTATCGATGTCAGCCTCCTCAAGCAAAGGGTCAATGGAACCTCTTAAGCCCGTGTGCTACAAAACAATTGCACAATGTGAATAAGGGAACAAAATTATTAGGCTAGAAACATTCTGCATAAAAATTTAAGATAGAAAAAAACACTTTCACTAACATTAACATTGGCTTCTTGGGTCACCAGGACACCCCAAACACATGAATTCAACTTTGCATATATTAAAATATCAGACCTATTGTTCACCTAATCTCTCAGAGTTACACCCTCGTTTCCCTTTTTTGTTTCTTTTCAGAAGAAAAAAGATCAACACCAAAAAAATAATATTTACCATTCTAAGTTCCTCGGGAGTTATAAACCCATCTCTATCTACATCAAATTTCTCAAAAGCAGCCTGTGACCGAAGCTGCCATTTATCAGAATCATGTTCTTCCATTTGATTCACATGTAGAGCTGCCGCAACAAACTCAGTGAAATCAACAAGCCCATCTGTGTTGCTATCAATCTGAGATCAAAGGAAATAAAAAACTCCACAACAATCAAAACCACCTAAAGGAAATACTCTTTACAAGAGATAGTGCAAAGAAAAAAATAAAAAAAGAATAACCTCCAGATGAAGAACAGGAAACCTCTACTCACCGCTTGAAGAATCTCAAGGACACGTGATTCCTTCAGCCTCCAAGGAAGATCTTTAGCAAGGGCCTGCACTGAAACCATCCTTATAAGGCCAAAAACAAAGAAGCTCTGGGCAATCTAATAGATGTCATGTATGATAGAAATGTTTACCTGTCTCATCTCTTCAAGACTAATAGAACCATTCTTATCCACATCAATTGCATCAAACTGATCGCGGAGATCAGCTATCTCCTCTTCATTAAGTGTGCTAGCCAATGCCTACAAATTAATAATTATATATAAAGAGATGAACGATGAAAGGAGGGACCAGTAGCCTATTATGCCCATAAAATAATCCACTAATGTTTCGAGAGGAAGAGAAACTATGTTACCCTCAGAGCAAACTGCTTCAATCGACTATACTTCACAAATTGCCGCAGGTTGTTCAAAACAGATATATCAACAGGTATATCAGATGCATTTCCTCCTTCTCTAACCCATGGATGTGCTGGATAAGTGGAAACCAATCAGATATTCTAGAAATAATAAGAGAATAAAATGATAACACAATAGAAGATTTACTTTAGTAGCTAATAGCAAACTTGATATGTGATATACACTTCATTAGAGCAAGGAAAAAAGCAATAATTTACTAAGAGATGATGTAAACACATACATAGGGCCTGAGCAGCTGTCAGTCTAGCACAAGGATCCTTCACCAATAACTTCTTCACAAAGTCTTTAGCACCATTGCTAATTGTTGGCCATGGTTTACGACGAAAATCAGGCTTGTTTTTCAAAACCTGAAGTTATAGACAGTGGCATATGAATTCTCCAGAAAATAAATGTATTTTTAAATAAATAAATAAAACAAATCTTAGACACACATTGACAAGTGAATTTCATATGAAACAGCATGATTATTAAGGAAAAATAAAAGACAGCTAAAGTAACTCAGAAGGTGAACAAAATTTCCACATTTTCCCTCAGGGACATATACATAACTAGAGCATAAAGGATTAAATGACGTGCAATGCCTTCCACAAGTATGGTCATCAGTTCATGTGAAATGGGCATGGTGCAGAAACAAGCATAGTCTACATCTGATAATAATAAAATACAATGATGAAACCCTTAAAAAGCAATAAAAAAAATGTACTACACCTCCTTAAATATACCATCCTCAGTCTTATCCCAAAAGGGTCGCTTCCCACAGAGCAAAATGTAAGTAATTACACCAATACTCCACACATCTGATTCAGGCCCTGACCTTCTTTTTAATACTTCAGGAGCAACATAGTAGGCACTCCCAACAATATCTGGAAACCTCTTCCCTGCATTTAGTCACAGTTTAGGATTATATGGCTTGGATGATTGTGGCATGAGGATTAAAACAATAGCAAGTTGAAGAGAGAGTAAGTATAACACAAGAATTGGAAAAATCAAAATACACAATAGATGGATTAAAGGATCCCAGTAATTTTAAAAAACATAGTTGTTTCATGAGCAATGACAAGATCTCAACATGAAGCAACTGCCACTCACCAGGTTTGATAAAGTCTGACAAACCAAAATCTGTAGCTTTCAGAGGTGAGTCCTCTCTGGTTGACTTAAAAAGGAAATTCTACAGGCAAGAAACAATAAGGGAACCATAAGTAAGCGGCATGACTTCCTAAAGAGGAAGTTGACAAGAAAACCATGTTAATGTAGTTCAGCATACCTCAGGTTTCATGTCACGGTGCACCAAGCCCCGCAAATGACACTCAGCAGCAACTTTGAGCATCTGCCGTACAACTACTGCTGCATCCTTTTCACTATAGCGGCTGTCCTTTCTGATAGAAAATGGCACACATAAGTTACTAATGGTTGTGACACTATCAGGGACATTAACAGAAAGAAAGTACTAGCTACTATATTTGGAAAATAAATACGCATTATCTAGCAGTAACAGCATCCCAAAAATTAATTAACTAAGCATCCTTACTTGGCCAAAATCCGGTCTAGCAATTCTCCACCCTCGCATAACCTAGCATCAGAAAAAGCCAACACGTAACAGAGTCAAGATATGGAAGGATTGATATGAAAGCATATAAATGCAGGCCGAGGCCACAGCCAATGGAAAAAAACTATTTTGTTCAAAACTGAACATCAAAAGACAAGAAAAAGGAAATGACACTGTTAAGAGAAGATCAGAAATGAATGAACAGTCAGAAAAGAAGACAAAATTTATAAGACTTACTCCATTACAATGTATACATACGAATTATCCTCAAATGCATTATAAAACTGAACCACATTCTCATGACCTTTCAAGGCTTCCAATATCTTGACCTCTCGCTTGACATCCTCAACAGCAATTGAAAGAATCATCTGCACCCAACCAAAGGGACTTAAAATAAGAAAATGAGGAAAAAGAAAAGGTCCCACTTCAAGATGGAAAAGAAAAGAATCTATTGCATCTAGATTGTTTTATCAGCCAAACACTTAAAACTCCTGCACGATGCCTCTATGGTAATGGCAGAAATATATATATTGCACAACGAGATAGGAATGAAAAGTCTCTGACTCACCTAACCTCATTTAGAAAACTAGGTTCAGGAAATCAAGCTATTTGGTATCAAACTAGAAAGTTTAGCAGGCAATAAAGAAATGAGAATTGCCAACACTGGAAAATTTTTCTTGCTCAAAGGAAACATTTTTTTCAGAATAAAATTGGCACTTGGAGATGAAAAAAAAAAAGAAAAGAAAAGAAAACAAAGCATTACCCACCGTGAAAGCAAAGCAAAAGTGAGATCAAACTTATTAAACTTAGAATAGTTAAATTTCGTGGAACTACATCATCTCCTATTCAATATCCCAACTATGCTTCTATCCAATTCACAGTCAGTTCAAACTACAATTAGCAGATTATAGGTTGCCGCTGCACATTGAAGCTTCAAGTATGATTACAACCAAATTCAACTACTGCAAACTTGCAATCACAAATTGCTATTAAGCAAGTTTGCCTTACCACGATCTTAAAACTGTAATAAGATTGTCAAGCCGAAGAAGAAGAGATACCAAAATCTTCATAGCTCAACGAGGTTATAGCGGATCCCCTACCAAATGTTGCCATACTTAAGACAAAGCAATTTAATATGTATATAAAAAAAATCAATAAGGAATCGAAAGTACAAGCCAAAATTCACTCACCCACACCATTATACAAAAATTCCAACCCAATTAACCCTAAAAATCCCACCCTTTAAGTTATCAGACAAAAAAAAATCCCACCTAGAATATGACAGAAAGGATAGAACCAAAAGGAAAGGGTGAATCAAAATAATCCCAAGAACCCAGAACAACAATCAGGCAAAGGATTGTAAAAACATTTAAAAGATACCTTATTTTTATCAATTTTCTTAACGGCAACTCGATCCCCATTTGCCTTGTCTGTGGCAACGTAGGTGTAACCAAATTGTCCATGTCCTAACAATTTCCCAATTGTATAACGCTTATCAAAATCCTTATGGTACCCAAAATCCGTACGTTTGCCGCATGGGATGATCCCACTTTGGCTCCTCGAACTCGGTTTCCCTTTAATCTTCAGAGGCTGAGAATTCCTCACCTGTTCTTGTTGTTGCTGCTGATTATTTGGTTTTTGAGACTCTTTTTTCTCATTGGTCTTTGTTGCTGTGGCGGAGGATTGTTGTTCTTTGCGGTGGTGGTTGGCGTTGCTGCTTGAGCCCCTGACTTTCGTGGTGGAAAGACAGGTTCCCATGGTGATAACTAAGAAGAAGAAGAAGAGGATGTTAAAGGAAGGAGTTTTAGAGCTAGAATTCCATAGGAAAACAAACGATGTGAAATAAATAGCAAAAAAGGGTAAATGATTAAGCCCCCAAAGAGAAAGAGAGAGGAAACAAGGGAGGAAGAAGGGAAGAAGGGAAGAAGGAGAGGGATGATGCTGCTGCCGCTATGGTCAAAAGAGTCTTTTTGTTATTTATTTATTTTAATATGATTTAATTTTACGACCTTAACAAAATCTAAATTAATATCAATAAGAATTTATACTTTTTTTCGTAGATTTCCCAAAAGAATTTTCTGTCTAATTGAGATTGATTTATCATCTATCTCATAAATAATGTTTTAGTTTGATTTTTAAGGGTTAAACTTTTTCAGTTTTAATTTTAATTTATTTTAAATATATTGTTAATTAAAATATAAAAAATATATTTTATAAAAATAAAATTTTCAAGTACATTTTTCTAGAATTTAATTTAATAAAATATTTAAGCAAATAAGAAACAAGAACTACTTTTTTCATTTCGAGATTTAAGTAGGTAAGGGCAAAGAGACCAGCAACACAAACAATATCAAAGTTATAAAATTCGATTGTAAAAAGTGGAGTAAGGATTGGATGAAACTTTTCTATTTGAATCATAATTAAATTGTAAGATTTATTTGTCCATATTTTTATCTTATATCCTTTTTAACATTTGCATATTAATACATACCCAACATTCAAATCATTTGAAAGTTTTATTTAATTTAATTGATTTATAATATTTTAAAAAATAATATAAATAACTTTAAATTTTAAATATTATTTTTTAAATTTTTTAATAAAAAAATCAAACCACTTATTTTTCCTGTATTCGTGTATTAGCCTGACGCCTAAACCTAAACGCCCTTTAGTTTTTTGGTAGTCCACTCATTTTTCATTTGCAATATGATCGTGGGTAGGGTCTACTTTGGATAGGATCTAAATTATTTTTTTTAAATATTATATAATATTATAAAATTTTAAATTTTGATTTAAATTATTTGATTTAAATAAAATTAAATAAAATTTTATTAATTTATAAAATTTTTTATTTTATATATATTATTTTAATATAAAATTTTAATATATTTAAATAAATTTTGATGTAAAATTATTATTTTTATTTATAAAATTTTAAAATATATATAATTTGATTTGATTTTTTTATTTTTTGTTTTTAATTTAAAATTTGATTTAAATTTAATATATAATTTATAAATTTGATATGATTTTAATATAAAAAAAAGATTTGAACTAAATTAAATATTTAAATTTTGAATAATTTTAGATTTTTTATTTTTATTTTTCACCCCTCATCGCGACAAAGTGAAAAAAAAAAAGTCATGATTTTTTTTTTTGTGGGGAGCATTTCTTCAAGTCAATTCATTTTTTAACGTGTTGAAAGGACGCTAGATTCCTCTCCGTTATGATCTCCACTTTCAAAAGCAGTGAAAAGAGACAAACGCTGCTGACTTTGCACCCAATAGCAATCACAAACGTGTGACAATCTTTGAGTTCTCAAGTGTGAAACAAATCTTTGTAACAGATATCGATTGAGCTCAAAAAAGAGCCTTGACAAAGCACCTATTTGAATTTGCCGCAGACCAATACACTTTTACAGGGATAGCTCATCGAGTGCAAAATGACGAGGGTAATTCCCTACATCTTCACATCACTCCTTCGGCCTTCGGATGAACTTGCAAATATATATATAGTGATCGAGCAAAATTAACTCTTAAGCTAAAAATGGATATAAGATCGCTAAACATAGAATTTATAACACAATCAATTTTTTTCCAAAAAATTACCAATGGTGGAATTGCCATCGCTCATACTTTCTGGTTGCAGAACCAATCTCTTGTTTGGCCTGTGTTGGGATCAAAATTTATGGTAGTTTTCGATAATGACGCTCACCCCAAAAGACCTACAAAATCATGATGGTTAGAGGGTATCGGAGTCTGTATTCTGAAAGTTTCTCCAACGATCAATGCTTTCGATGGGGCGATGTCATCACGTTGTTTTTAGATTGGAACTTGAGTTCATATCTAAAAAATGAAAGGAGAAATAAGATAATAAAAAAGTGAAAAGATTGAGAGCTCCAATGGAAATTAACTTACCATTATATATGGATAGTAATATTACCATAATGCTCTTAGAATAATTTATCTGCATAACAGCCTGGTAATTTATTTGGTTAACTTTTATTGCCTGCAAGCCGAAGGGCAAGCTATAGGTTTCGTGATGGGGAGCTGTCAAGAATTCAGAAATCAGAGTGGTGACCTGGTCTCCGGGTAATAATATTTTGAAGAAATTAGAATCTCAGTGGTCTAAAATAATCTCATATAGATACATATATAATATACTTGATTGTTTTTGTCATGTTAGAGTACTTAATTAAAAATATTTGCATTTAATTGGTACACCCTGTCTGATTATTTCACAGCTTTTTCTGTTAAGTATATAGCCAGATATAAACTGGAAAATTAAACAACAATGCACATGACCTCATGTTTAAGCCTGAAATTAATGTTGTATCCATTCCTATTATCATTAAATGTTGTCTTATATATACCTTTTTAATGTAAATGATTTTAATTATCTGATCAATTTCAATTTTTAAAAATTGTTTCTTGACCTTGTCTGCCCATGGAAATTATATTTGAAAAGCAAAACAAGTTTAATATGAGCAACCAGAAAGTCAAATATGACAAGAAAAATGTTGGTTTTTGTTAGTCGTTTGAGTGAGTAAAACTCAGCGGTTGATACTATGTATGATTTCATTACAAATTTGGATTGAGGAATCAACCTTGTTGATCACGAAAGCTTTATTTTAATCAAAAAAAATTTTTTTACGCAAAATCATCTTGACTGTCATTGATCAAAATCGAGATAACTAAAACATTGACTCGTCTCTGTTCATGATGAAACATTGATCGTGTTGAAAACATAAAAAACCAAGGACAGACTTTAGTCTTAATTTGTCTGCCTCGTGGGAGACTAGAAGGTATCTAACTATAAAAACAATTTCATTAATTATATAAACCTTTCTGATCTAAATTATGAATCAAATTAAAAGAAAATATATGAAAGAGGTTTAGTTTTCAGAAGTTTTGATATCTTATTATATGAGGATTAGATTTAACAATTTATTTATATATATATTTGTTTATTTTATATCTAATATATGTAAAATATGAATATTATTATATTATAATTTGTATTAATGTATCGAACACAAAATATTTCTTTTAATGTTTGTCAAACTCATGTTTTTATTAAAATTTTAAATTGTATCCTTTTTTTTTTTTTCAAATCATGTCAACATATCATATTTAAGATTATAAAAGATAAAGCTTCACTTCAGCTAGCTTCTCCTAAATATATATACCACCGATTAAGATAGAATATGTACTCCGATCCTTTAGACTGGACATAGCTGATAGAAGATACCAGACGAAAAAATTGAACAAATATACTGGAAGACCTTGACTTGACTGAATTAACTTTGATTTTAAAATGTGCAAATTATTCCTCTTTAGTTCAAGTTTTTAGTGGGGGGGTACTGAAAAGCATAAAAAATTAAGCTTGTTGGTCTGCATATTCTCCAATATTATGTATTTCTTGGGATAGAAACTCACATGCACCAGCGCAAACCAACCTTCTTTACCTACTCCTGCAACTAAACCTTTGTGATGATGAGCGAACTTTGAAACTATAAAAAAGGGTTCCCCTAAAAGAGTAAAATAAGAATTTTAGTATGTTCTATGTTATTTTGTTATGAACAAAGGTAAGCATTACTGAGATAAGCTTAGAGTTAGGTTCAATGGAAATGTGAACATTCTACTGTTTGATGGCCACATTTCACGTGAAGTGAAAGAGTGACAAGAAATTTTGTCATCGATCTTCTTCATGTCCAGTACGGCTCTCTCTCACTTCCATTGCTTTTTCTTTTCTTGCTTTTAGGTAAGATATTGCTTTCTAATACCATGACATGATTAATTTGAATGTTATCATTTTGCCAGAACGGGATCAATCATCATCATCTGAATGAAAAATTGTAAGATCCAGAGAAACTTCGTGGGGAGCACGTCACCACTTAGTGGTGTAGCATAAAGTGTTTTTTTTTTTTTTTTTTGCCAGAGTGTAGCGGAAAGTTCAAGTTAAACACGATTTTTTTAAATCTTATTGTAATTTAGCATTCCCACTATCGTTTTTTATATAAGGGGGTAAACATGTTCTTAATCCAATGGATATGTGTATAATTGTGTCATGTTTGTCTTCTTAATTATATCCGACATTTAATTTGAAAAAAGAAATTTGAATTTTACATTTTAGTAGGGAAAATAAATATACATTGATCAACCATGAGCTAAATGTTTGAATACAAAAGGTTATATTAATATTGTAATTACTATTTATAGTTTTATTATAAATTAACAATCACAATTTAGATTTTCAATTTGAAATTAAGTTTCAAATCCAAATTATTGAATGAGAAGAATGGGTATATAGTTGAACGAAAATAGAAAAAAAGATTAATGAGGCAATCGTTGTATTTGGTGCATAAGATGATAAATAAAATAGAAAGATAATCATCATAGATAATATTTGGTTTGTATAAAAAAATTGGAAAGATGATTAATCATTCATTTGGTATAGGATAATTCAATTTTCTTAAAATAAAGCGAATTATTTTTAAAAATATTGTTATTTACACCCCAACTTTTTCTTAATACATCCTAAAAATTTAATTTTTAATGAAATTATTTAAATACCTATTAGTCAATTACCTTTTTGTCTTTCATACTCCATTCCAAAAATCCATTTCCGAAAGCTTTTAAAGTTTTCAAAAGTGGATGTCTGAAAATCTTTAAGAACTTTCAGATTAGGAAGTTCTTAAAGACTTCCGGACATCAATTTTTGGAAACCTTATATTTTAAGAAGTTCTTAAAAATTTTTAGATATCTATTTACAGAAACATTTAAGAACTTCCAAAAATTTATTTTTGGATGTTTCAAATCGTACCAAACATTTCAACATAAAATCTTATGAAACGAAATACGAAATCAAACAAAAAAGTAGAAAAAAAAAACAAATAATTTGTCTTTAATTTTATGCTTTTTAACTTCAAATTGATAAACTTTTCTTTGAATTTGGCTTGATTGAGGCCTAAAATCCTTTAGGTTTTCGGTTAGGAAGAAAGAAGAGATGAGGTGTGAGAAGATAAGATACTTAGGTTTTTGGTAAATTTGTATTTTAGATTTGAAGTATGTTGAGTAAAAAATTAGGTATTAATAGTAATGGAGTGTGAAGAGAGAAAGTTAAGGTGCAAATAGCATCAC